CCGTAAAGAAGCCAAATAAAGAATAATAATAACTACCTAAATAAATAACTGAAATAAAAAAGGCAAATATACACATATATCCATAAGTTACTTAGGAAACTGGAGACTCTAGTCCACTGAAGCCATAACAGCAGATCCTCCAACACAGTGGTCAATTTATTATGACCTTCGGCGTTCTGGTGGATAATCTTGTAAAGCCCTTGAAAGGGACTTACAAGTATGTTACAGCTTACCCCAATACACATCTTGCTGGCTGCTTTCTCCTGGCAAAGGTACTTTAGAGACAGTATCTGCTGAAGCGTGTGATGCTGTTTCACTCAAATGTAGGATAGCTCCAGTTTTTCTGGCCGTTAAGGCTGGGTCCTGGACTATTTTGCTGAAAGCAGAACAGCAATCGATGTTAACATTCCAATGTTGATGTCTTGTGTCATCAGGCTGTTCTACTGATGGTTGAATGTTGGGTTGATATAGATTGAGTCTGTGGGGTTGTAGACGTTGGTAGTCTTTCTTAGTACTTGGAAGATCTCTTCTGGTAAGATTTTCTTGGGCTGAGGTATATGGTGTTTCCATCAGAGGTTTACACACGGTAAATGTTAATGGAGTTTCTTGACAGAACAACCCTCACTGGAAGACACAATGATCTCTCCTGAGCTTTCGGGTGTCTTTAGTGGTTCTGGCTTGGCTGGTGTCCTTTGGTGTTGTCCTCACTGGCTGGTCAGTGGGAAGGCTGGATTTTCACATCTACTCACCTACTGAAGATGGTGTGATAGGGAAAAGACCTTCTCCTGATTGCTTGATGGTCATCAGCTGGTTAGCATTTGGTTGAAGCATCTCTAGGGACTCCACGACTAGTCCATTGGAGGCATTAGACAGATCTCCTAGGTCAAATGAAACGCCCAGAAACACATCTTTATCTATGGGCTCTGCTAAGATGATATCGTACTACATAAAGAACACCTACACAAAAATGTAGAAAATTTTACCTGAATATCTGATTATAGATATATTTCAAACTAATTATTTAAGGGTGTAGTTCACTATTATTTTCTTCATTACACACCTACTTAGTAATTGGTTGTCAGATTTTACATTTTCTCTGATAACCATATACAAGCAATGCTCATCCAAAGTATTTTGCAATGTTTTCTTCTAAGACAATTCCATAAGTTAAAAATGGTAAGATACTAGTGGATTTTTCAATGCATTGGCCTCTCTTATAAACAAATGTTATTGTAATAAATCTTAATGTTTGTTTTTTATCGGCCATAAAGATTAGATTGTAATAGTTCTTGAGAATAATTTGCAAAGGGTCTTAAGGATAAGATTCTAATGAGTCATAAGAACGAGATTGTAATGACTGTTAATAATGAGATAGTAAAATATCTTAAGTGTCATACTGTAATGTATTTTGAAGAACATACTGTAATATGTGTAAAGGATCAGTTCACAGTAGTTGAAAGTTTAGTATTTCTAATACTAAATCTTTCCAATAACATATATATCAAGGGCAGATTAGTTCTCTGGCCTATAGGACCTGTGCCCAGGGGCTTCAGCGAACTAAAGGGCCCCCAGTAAAACCCATTGTAACTCAGAATAATTGCATAGAATTTCTGGATCAAAATATCAATATTTACAATTACTATATAAATGAGTTTCTCCAAAAATTAGAACTAGAAGGAATGCTTTTAACTCTATTTGGAATGGAGGGATGTCATTTAATGCTGATTATTATCAAACAATTTCTTACGAAACACAGATACACACAACCTGTGTAGTTGTAATTATTCATATTGCTCCTAAAGCAAACAATTATTTTTTTAAAGGTTTTGTATGTGACAAAATTAAGTAATTCCATTTAAGCTTATCATATTGCGATATGACTTATTATATTATTAGTGCAGTGTGAAAACACTGTATGGGTTATTTCTTCACACATTGTATTACAAGTTAGTGATTTATTGGGTGGGGAGTGCCAGAGTTCCAAGAATTCTTAGTCTACATCTGATTTATACAAATGTTACTGTCCTGGTACATTTGTACATTTTGTTGTCATGCATTTATTGGTTAAGCCATTTATATTATATAACTGGTACGCAAAATACCAGTATTGAAGTACATTTCTTGTGATCTGAGTAAAAAAAAAAACATGTCACAGGATGAGCAGCTTCTTCATGACATCCAGCTTTCGGCTCAGATCGATACATGAAACACTTGTGTGCAGAGCAGTACTAAATAAACACAGCACGTAGAAATATCAAGAATCTAGGATTTACCTTCGTATGTTTGCTGTAGTTATATTAGTGAGGTACAAACAAATTATACATAAATAACAGGAATTAAAGTCCTGGTAGGGAAGCTGGTACATCACCTTGGTGTTTTACATTAACACTTTGACAGCTGTTGACTCTAATAGCGGAGGTTAACATGGACATCTCGGTGACACTATTTATCAGTTATAAGATTTTAGGATACATATAATTACAATCTGTCTTTGCCCATTATCCCTACTTACCTTGAGACAAGAAAGATTGGGTAGTGTGGCTTTTCAGCCAGAGCAAAAAATTACTTAAAGTAGTTTTAATAATTAATTGGTTTGTACAATTATCTGAATAAAACCAGTTCAAAATTAAAGATTTATTGCCTTTACCTTCACTTTATTTTAACTCTATAAAATATTGTGTTGAATTAAATAACTTTTACAAGAAGTCTTTGTTTTTTAACATAATATTCCTTATTAATGATATATTCACTTATTCACAAACTAAATTCCTGTGATATTTACTGACTTACTGTCTTGACAAGCTGTATTCAATTTAATTATAAAGCTAACACTAAAACACGATTGTCAGAGACATAAGTATTTTAACCATCTTATACAAGAGTCTTTAAACAATCAACTTTTCAGAGAAAAACTAAAATTAAACAAAGAAAATTGTTCGATCTCTAGGAATTTTGACATTACTTATTCTAGAATAATTTTGAAAGAATCATTTTTAGCGCATTAAATATGCATTAAAGTACTTTTCATTGCAGCATGCATGCTGAAAAAAAATGTAGGATAAAGTTTTATACGATACAATGTATACAAGTCATTATTGTTAAACATTTTATTATTTAGGAATCATCGGGCTGTTAGTTGGGGTTATAGCTACGACTGTGGATATCATGTTTCCTAATACATTTTCAACTATATTGGAGGCTGAATATGATGGCAACTACCGTTACTTAATTGAAGAGCGTGTAAGAATAAAGAGGACACAAAGACGCAAAACTAAAAGTGAGAAGAATAAAGAACCTCTACCCGAAGAAACTTCTACTGACCCTGGGTGTAGCAACGAAGGCATTGAAAACACTGCTTTTGAGGATGATGACAGCAGTGACAGTCCAATGGAAAATGGAGAGAAGGCCATTAGTCTTAACCAATTTGGTAAATATATGCAGCAAAAGAAAAGAGGGACAATTTTGGCTATTACCCGGTAAGTGGCACTTTATACTTTTACCTAGAATTTGGTAATAAGCTGCAGACAAGAGTCTTATATTGTATGTTTTAATACTAATAGGATTAGAATAATAAATTATCTTGACTAATTAACACTACTGATAAAATTAAAGGATAAATTGCAGTATTTTAAATTACCTAATTCACAGAAAAGAAGAAAAATATGCTATAAACGTTTAAAACATTGTAAATTGAATATGGTTTGTGTTCTTTTCCTTTATTGAAATTTATCTTAGTCGGATACAGTGTACTGATACTGTTAGACGGTTTTACCAAACACAAAAGTACAATAAATCATGAAAAAAGTCCTAAAAATAAATCAAACTACATAGTATACTCTGTTATTGTATATTATGCCATTAAAAACAGAAAATATATATAAGTGATGATAAATGCATAGAATTTACTAACTCATTATTAAGCAAGTGTGGTATTTTCAGGTACTCTGATTTCTAAAGGTATTCTGGTAGGACCCACAAAATAACAAGCAATTTACTAGTAGATTTTATGCAAAATTAAATGGCATTCCCCTACTTTTAACTGAGTTGTGAGTAAAGAAAGAGACTGGACACAAAAGAAGCTGAGTGAAATAATCTTTATTCGAAACACACAAAGCAATTGAAATAAAAATATTTACTTCATATGGTGCCTTTACTAAAGAAAGTTCTCAAAAGGTCTTGGTAGAAATCTATAACAAAACTGTACTTCTATCTGTTCCACACTGAGAAAACATAGCATAGTATACAAAAGACACTGATACTATTCTTCTCAGTGTTCATATAATACCATATGACACTAGTGGTCATTTCCATCACAGAACAAGCCAGGTTGTATCCTTGCGGTATCACCTGACCTGCCAGTGGTAAATACTACTGTCCACTTCTATATTGTAAGCTTAAACTTGCAGAACTCTTTGCCACGAGAAAGTTCATGTGCTGCTACAAATGAATAATGTTCCATAACAGTGAGTAATTAGGGTAAGAGAAACTTAGCTTATTTTATGACTGATATTATGTGTTGCAGTTACATGTATGTATGCTTTGTGAAAATTCTAAATTTTATGTTAAAAACAATGGTAGTAGAAAAGAAGTGGTATACCTGCACAACACACCTTTTCTCTCCGTTTATCTTCAAGATTCCCCAGTCATCCCTAATTTAAAAATGAATTACATAACTTTGTACATTGGCAAAAAAAAAAAAAAAAATTGCTTACCCTCTCCACTTGAAACTGGCCTGGCATGGCCTAGTAGTTAGGGCACTCGACTCGTATTCTGAAGGTTGCGGGTTCGGTTTCCCATCACCAAATATGCTCGCCCTTTCAGCCGTGGGGGCGTTATAATGTGACAGTTAATCCCACCATTCTTAGTAAAAAAGTAGCTAAAGAGTTGGCGGTGAATGATGTTGACTAGCTTCCTTCCCCCTAGTCTATCACTGTTAAATTAGAGATGGCTAGTACATATAGTTCTCGTGTAGCTTTGCACGAAATTCAAATCTAATCTAATATTTAACTTCGCTAGAAAACACTTAGTAACATAGAAAAGTAAAACAATATAAAACTTTACAATATACATTCCCAAATCACAAAAATTGCAAAGTCAAAACTAAGCATTGTATGTTGACAAAGCCCTTTGATATGTAGAAAACAACGAACTCTCTGTAAACAGTGAAGCATAATAAATTACATACAAAACACAACATTAATACCATTCAAAAACTAGTAAAAATGAAAATATGTCACAATCAAAGTACAAAACGTTTTGGCATTACATACTGAAAGCAAGACACACTAAGTAAAAAAAATACAAAATTGACCTTTAATCGTTCAGTACGAATGAAAAGAAAAAAGCCAAAGCATATTAATATAAATCCTTTTATATTACATTAAAATTAGTTCGGAGAGTGATCCTTTTAAAAGCAAATATATTAAAACCATAGAATACACCTTTTATATAAAAATCAGAATCAAAAATGAAAAATACAAAATAGACCATTTTTACTTAGTAGTGAAACAAGATAAAACTGTTAATAACAAATCAAAATAAAAGAAAACAACTTTTTGATATAAAACATTGTATGAAATAAAACACAAAAAGTAGCTCTTAAAATATATAAAAAAAAATCCTTACAATACAGAAAGGAATTTTCTAAAGGATAAAATACTTTACAGCAAGGGTGACACAGATTAATCTCCAAAGGAAGGAAACTACATACGGTACTAAAGTATTCATAGACTGATGAACACAAATCAGAATAAATATAATGAAATGCTTAACTGTACTACTATTGGAGGTATCAATACCTACATGGATTATCTAGCAGTTCAAGACCAGAACTCCCACTTTTATTTGAGTCTAAAGAGTAGGTCTGCTAGTGTGGTGGTTTACCTCTTGCTGACAGAAGTGTTTTTTGCATCATTGCCCATGTAACCTATATGGGCTTCCTCTGCTAGCTATGTCTCCAGCTACACGGTTCCATAACGTGTCGCCATTTATAAGCTGTTAAGTGAAACATGTTTTCTCATCACAATGAAATAAATAATCACCAGCAGAATACAGTTGAACTAAGACTTTCAGCCAGTGATTTCTTTTCAGCTAGGATTAATATTCGTGTTATCGCTATAGTGTATATCAATATACACTCAGAACAACCTATTCCAAATACAATATTCCATAGTAAAACACATTTACTATACTAAATAACCCAAAATAACAACAGATATTGTATCGCCGTTTGTGAGTCGATACACTTGCTTTAGTTAGTAACACAGAAAAATAAATACAAGCTAATAAAGTGAAACTAAGAACACCCACCTCACATCAATAACAACCTGATTCATATGCTGTGCTGAGAAAGAAAATAACACCCTCACTGCAAAGGCAGGAGTTTATACCCACACCTAAATGTACTGGGAGGTTTTAGTGAATATCGTGTGATCTTTTCTGTAGATCTTCTATGACATGGCTAGATAAGGTGAGTGATTGTCGCAACGATTCAGATCAGATGACATTTAACCTCAGAAAATTGTTTAGTAGCTCAATAAGTAAGTGTTGAAATGCCCTATCAGCTGAGTTTTAGGACTTCTACCAAACGTCCTCCTCCGTTAAAACTGTTGACGTTCTAGACATTACATCTACTGAAACCAGTCATCCTAATTTTATTGTAAACGAGCTGCTATTACCTGATATTCTATAGATATCGTTTGTTTCACAGCTCAGTATGTGAGAGTCACAATTCACTTTTGGTCTCAATAGTTTTACACTGAACAACCCACCCTAATTTTGTAATAATTAAACGGGAATCACACAACATAGTGCATTTATTTCATAGTGAAACACCACTTCAGAGCTCGGTTATAAGCTGAGAGATAAGGTGAAGTGCATGCCCTCGCCACTTTATTCAACTCAGCGAATAGCTGAGTGTCGCAGTTAACTCCTTAATCCATGCAAGTTTCATTAGATGAACTAAATAAGGTTAACCATTCCTCTGTCAATACATCAAAAATAGACTGTGCTGAAGTAACGATCAATGGATATGGATCAGCATCATATCACTTAGTGAAGTAATCAATAACAACCAGTGCAAACGGATTACCCTCTTTCAGTTTCCAAAGAGGACCTGCAATATCCAGGGACATTCTCTGTAAATAATAATCAGTTAATATCTACTGAAATTATCTTGTTTAGACCAGTTTCTCCTCTGTCCAGCACCACTGTACAATATTTATACCACTGCTTAATATCTTGATGTGATTGCAGCCAGTAGAACCATTGTTGCATCTTAGTTAAAATGTATGTAAAACCTTGGTAACCTCAAGTCTTTGTGTCATGCAAAGTTTGAATATTTTCTTAATTCAGGGCTCTGTGGAGGTCAACCTTAACCTTGTAGCATGACAAGGAGCACTTATGCTAAATAAGGGTCCTTCAATTGCCCTTTCTAGAGCTCCTGAAGCATTAATCATAGTTTTTAACCACCAGTAGAATTTCCTACCGTGCCACTATTGCAGAAACGGATTTTACTCCTACTCAATGTTTGGAGTCAGCAGATTCAACTAATAGGTTTCACTGTGTGGTAAGATAATCCACTGGCATTCCATGTGGCCAGATTAGACAATGCCATATAACAAAGTCACACTCCTTCAATGTTATGGTCCATTGTGAAATAACCTCTTTCAAATCTTTAAAGTTCATAAGCTACTTCAGTGATGCATGATTTGCCCAAATGATGAAATTTCTACTATACTGGTAGTGTTTGATATAGGCCACAACTACAAACAGTTCTTTCTTTGTTATGTAGTATCCATATTCAGAGCAATGAGTATATGATATTCCCACTACTATTCCATTATCAATATCCGACAAGATCTTACAGTCCTGTTGTAGATACGTCAGCACTGGAGATTCAACTAAAGCATGTTTTAGGTAATTGAATTCTTACTCATACTCCTTAGCCCATCTGAAATGCACATTGGCATTAGTGAGAGCATTCAACAATATTGAAGAAACTGATCACAAGATGTCAGTAATATGACGCACAACCACCAAAGCTGTGGAATTTTCGTTTTATCACCAGTTAAAGCCAGTATTCACCACAGCAATCTTCATGGGATTACTAGAGATCTCAGCTCTACCCACAATATGACTAAGAAATTCAAGCTCCATGTACATGAGTTCACACTTCCCTATTTTCATATTAAAGCCTGCCTTTCTTATCTGCTGAAGTACCATATACACGAATTTTCAGCAGCAGACAAAAACATGTGGTTAAATGCGAAAACATCATCAACATAGATCAGGAATCTCTCACATTACAGCCCCTTAAGTGTAGGCTATGTTAGCCTTTCAAAAGTAGTGAGCAGATTACCCAGGCCAAGTGCCATGATGTAAACTTATACAAACCAACTTCTCTCATCATTTGATTTTCCAGTGTCCTGATGCCAGGTTAAAAATATTAAAGATGCATCCAGACAATAATTTGTATGTAATTTGTATGTTACCTATTTAACCCACTTCAAATCAACGCAAAAACTTAACACACCTTCCTTCTTCCTCATGATCACAACTGGAGATGACCATACACTCTCTGAAGGCTTTATGATTTCATCCTTTAAAATCTTATGTGTTTCAGCACTGGCTATATCCCTTGTGCTTTAGAGAAGTTGTTTAATTGGACATGAAGCATCCATATTTATGTTATTGTGAGTTACTTTAGACCCAATATGTTATATGGTCCTGTGGATATATCAATTGTTCAACAAATAAGTCACTATGCTTCTGTCACTGCTTTGAATCAAGATTTCTCTCAAAATTCTCAACTAGCAGCTTCAGATGTGTCAGGTACAAAACAAAAGCATCACTGCTAGTTTCAGTTACCCACACTTTGCTCACTGTACTGATGCCCATTCTAGCAGGCAACTGGATAACTAGATGCTCATAATGGCAGAACAGTAGATTAGTATTTTTTAGCTAATGCTGCCTTCTTTCTGGACAGAAAGCAGTGCATTTCATCTGCTGGCTTCATCACCGCGTTACATGGTACCAATCTGTAATAAACCAAAAACATCACATGTGTAAATAGAGGTACTGTGACTCCTTTCAGAACATACACTGATGTATTCCAATGTTTCTAGGATTCTGATCTGGCTGGCATCAGTTGACTTTCCTATATTTTGGCAGCAAATCAATTCTTAGGAGTTTAATACCAGGATCAAGGTTTTAAATGTGTCTACTTTTTGTCCTGTGGTTGATATTAGAAACCATGCCTCTTTTATCATTATTCACCAGAACAAAGTCAATTTTCATCTGGTTGTCTGATACATGGCAAGACCAGCCAGTGTCCTGGTAGCTCCTGTACCTTCCTGTAACTCTATCTCTCACTCCTGTACCTTTACAAGCACATACAAAACATCACCAAGCCCTTAAAGAACTGGAATGACTACCAATCTTCGTTAATTGCACTTCCTCAAATCAGAAGCCAGACCTAGTTTGAACTTTATAAGTTTTCCATAGCTGAAGTACCAGCAGCTACAGCTCACTGTTAATTCTCCAGCATTTGCTGCACAGTTGGTTAAAACTTGCCTACCTTGCTACAAAGCAAGGTATGGGTATGTTGTAAACCACTTATGACTCAACTTTGTTATGACCATGCTATACTTGAACTTTGAACTTTCATTTCTTTTCAACCTTATGGAGTTTGTATTATTTTTATCAGGAAGTGACTCAACAATATACATATAACATTGCTGTTTATCACTATAATTTACAACATAAATTTAGAACTAGGTTTTATTCACTACTGGCAGCATAGCATTTCTTCCTTCGCCACTTTCCGGATTTATTTGAGCTTTATTACTCCTAGTAATTTTTCTGTTCAACTCCTGTCTATTATATGTTTGTTTGTTTTTTCCAAACCACGTCAATAGGTTCCTTTCTCTCCGAACTTGCACATCTGTTTTCCATAATTAGGATTATAATACCCATAGTCATAGCAGGTTTTTAAGCTCCACAGTAACTAAACAAGAAAGGTGGCCTATCCCTCAATAACTCTCTAATCACTTAGCACTTTAATCCTCTCATCCATTACAGATTGAACAAACGTTGGACACTTTCTCAACTCTTTCAACCTCAACCTATGTTCCTCACATCTGAATTCATAATAGGTAGTTCGCTCTGAAACTAACCACACTCAAATCAGATGATTTAGTACACTATCAGAGTGATTTATGTACAGCATTGGAAATAGATAAGACAAAAATTTAATGAGAAGGTCAGAGGACCCCCTGGCTACTAACTTGGAACCAGTGTGGTTGTATCACAGCCATGAGATTTATTACCTGCAGGTTTGCCCCCAGCATAGCTCTATATGATGCAGTCACTTTTGAATGGTGACATGTTTAAGGCACATCCACTGCAGCTGCTACTGTGGGATTCTTCTTTTTCAATTTGTTTGTTTGAAGTTCCAACTTCAAACCTTGTCACTACAGAAACTGCCCCCATTAAGGTGAGAAGAGCTCTCACATCCAAGTGATGCCTTATTGTCTCTCTAAATAGCCTATCAACAAATTTACATATGAGGATATCCTTGCCATTTGCCATGCAAATGACATAGATTGTCTCTGCCTTAAATAACACTATTATGACCAACATCAACTGGATATGCTCTAAACTTTGGGGTATGGTGTGGTGAACATGCTTAGGAATCCCTACACTCAAACAAGCATTAGGTCACTGCCTTCTAGTGGAAGAAAGGTGAATTACCTTAAGTAGCTCATCTTTTAGCTCTACATGATCCTAGGATCCTCCATGACCCATGATCATTCTGGCATTGAGAGGGTCATGGCTACTCCATAGTATCTTCTTCATTAATCAGTGACTGCTGTCTCACCTACTGGCAAAACAGCTCAGGCTTTTGGACATTGCTAAGCAGGAGCTTTACTAGTCACTTTGGCTGTTCTTGGGTGGCTAGTTGAATAGACTAGAATTGATTTGCACTGGTCAAATAATTCCTGGGAGTCCTGTAAAGACCAACACATTTAACTTCAGTTTCAACAGACCATGCACAACTGTCATGGCAATCAGTCATCAATGCCTACTATGCACTGAGATAGACCCCCCAAAGAAGAATTTGATCAGCCATTATGGGTGCACCAGATTCCAGTAGTTCACCTTCTAGAGTGTGCATTTGTAATAAGAATAATGTCATAAACCTTTACAGCATTGTGAAAGTCCACTTACCAGACTGTTCTATCAAAGAATCGCCTCCCAAGAGAAACTAACTCCTTGTCACAAGTACTTTGACTTATGGAAAATGTCATTTTCTCAAATTTGATGTTTCAAATCAGAATTAAAAGTAAGACAAATGCAGTTATCAACATAAACCTCTGCATAAACAAACTATCAAACTATTATCTCTCCTACCTACTCTGTGAGATTTACAGGTACATTGATTTTCCCAAAAAGTATTTGGTTAGGACCTGTAGAATAATAGGAGTTCAATCAGGAAGGGTTATGCAAAGTTGAATTGTATTTCCCGACAGTGTCATGAATAAAGAAAGAGAGTGGACATTAAGAAAAACAATTGAAAAGAATCTTTATTCCAAAACCTACAAAATTATCAAATTAAAAGTGTTTGTTTAAGGTGGTGCCCATACTGGAGAGAGAGAACTCTCTGGAAGTTGATGAAAACCTGTGATGAATCTATATCTGTATCTGCCCCAGACTGAGATCAAACAGCTTTATGTACACGAAATAATAGTTCAGTTCTACTATTCTCAGGACACGTGCACTACCCTCGTGACTGTGATCATTCCTAACACAACCAAAGGTTTTTGTTTTGTTTGCTGAATTTCCCACAAAGTTATTTGAGAGTGTGCTAGCCATTCATAATTATGAAATGACAAACTATAGAAAAGGCAGCTAATTTATATTATCCACTTCCAACTCTTCGGCTACTTTTTTACCAATGAAAAGTGGGATTGATCATCTTATTATAGTGCCCCCACAGTTAAAAGGTCGAGCATGTTTGAGGACAGTTTAAATCCCACAACACACAGTTTGCAAGTTGCACCAAGCTATGGCAGGTTCACAAAACAAGTGAAGTTATATCTTCGAGGCATCAACAGAACTGCTAGTTGAAATTCCCACTGTCCAATTCTACATGGTAAGTTCAAATCAACAGAAATCTTCCCTATAAGAAAGTGCATGTTATTACACAAATGAATGATCCAAAACAATAAGTAGCTAGAGTGAAAGGAGCTTAACGACTTTTATGATTAACATATGAAAATTTTGAAACATTTTATGCTAAAAAAGGGGACAGAAAACATTAAACATGCCTGCAACTGCATAATGTAATGATAGCAAAGCATTGTTAGCAAAAATAAAATAAAATATGCCTGCGTACCACACAATGTAATGATAGCATAGCATTGTTAGCAAAAAAATGCATGCAAAGCTCTTTATGACATATCAGCTTTGAAAAACATTTTTTATTCTTATGTTTAGTGTCTGTTGTGTAAAAATGTAATCACAAAGTTTGGAAATAACATTGTCAAAACATTAAACTACTATCAAGTACATTCCTTTACTTTTTTTTTACTTTTGTAACATTTGTAAGAGTAAAAGATCCTAAATCTAAACCCAATTCCCTGTTTCAACACAACAAGACGAACCATGTTTCTACTGAACAAGTGCGTGAATTTTTATAATAACCCATTCAGCTGTAACAGCCTTAATTTCAAATTAATGTAATCCCTTCCAACCAAGGAGACAGATAAATAACAACTCAGTCTATTGGTGTCTACATATTTCTTTTTGTTACTGAATGTTTGTTCTTGTCACAGAAAAACTGTATGGCGACCAATAAAATCTAATAATCACATTTGGTTATGACAACAACCTTGTATTGCACTGAAGTCATTTTATTATCTCTTTCATTGTTTAAACAAAAAAGCTACGCAATGGGGTGTCTGTGTTTTGCCCATAATCGATATCAAAACACTGGGGGCAGGGTCGCATTGAAGTAAGTTATTTTGTTATTTATCCTTCAACAAGAGGATAACCTCGTACAGAAGCTCCATAAAGCCCCACAAAGAACTTCCATAAAATGATTACATTGAAATGTAGACAAGAACTTGCTGAAGATTCTGACAGAAATATTCCCTTTAAAAAATCAATAACTTATTTACTTTAAAGTTAGGCTAGAAGAAGGAATATGAAGGATTATAATCTAGTAAATATTTTTTTTTGTTTTCAGAAAAGTAAGTGTTCTTTCAAACAAGGTGAATGTTGAACAAGAAGAAAACGTTACAGCTGGAGGAAGCTATAACAACATAATTATCTTTTATGCTGAAGCTATAGTTGTTCTCTAGTTTTATGATCGGTCGAAGGTAAAAAAATCAAATGTATCACTTGTTTTAGTCATGCTCAGAACATTAGTTTTAAATAATCCAGTTGAGAAAAACAGACAAGTATTACTACAAACAAATGTGTTTTCTTCAGATCTTAAACGTTCACTGTAGAAAACTCAGCAACTGATGGTGGGTCTACGAAAATGAAAAAAAAAACAACTTTTCAACTACTACAAAACCACTGAAAGAGCCTGCCGAAACCAGTCTCGTCGCGTGTCATAAACAGTCAAGCAGAAAAGTGAATACAGTGGTTCTTTTGTGTAGTGAGCAAATTGTATGCGCATATGTAAATGACTTATCTATAAATATTCTTTTCGAGTTAGCCGTGGAGACACGAATTCTTCTTCCTTTCAAACTAAAATCAAGTGGTTTTAGTGCCCGGGTCATTCATTCATATGGCAAAGAAGTCCATAGGTGCGTTCCAAATTACTATAGAAAAGGGTGTTCTAATGAGTCAAACTTGGATGTAAAATACCGTAGAAATCTATAAAAAGGGGACGGGTAAATCTTCACCTTTACTTGACACTGTTTCACCTTTGCCCTGAAAATAGGAGTTGCCTTGGAGATATCTGCCAAGTTCGTAATGCATACACAATATTATTTTTGAATTAAAAAGTTTCCCAAGAAGAAATTTCCAATATATCCATTGTGGTGCAGATGTTGCAAAGGGCAATCTTACTGAAGCTGGTATAATTTCAAATTTTTCTTTTGTTTTTAGGCTAGATATATCATAAATAATAAACATTACATTAATACTATTAACACCATTCTTGTTCTTATTTCAGTTTTATTAGTTATGAAATTTACAATGTTAGAAATACTGTTTGTAAATGGCAGTAAATAAATTATGCTTAAATCAGTATAATTAACCTTGAAGTAAATGTATTGTTATCCACAAAATATATGTGTGTGTGTAGATTTGGAGATTTAATGTACTTAACTCCCTACTAGTGTTGAATGATTATCTTTTTTACAATTCGATTCAATTATCGATTAGGTATTTCTAAATAATCCCGATTACGATTACTATGATCAATTATTCTAACGAGTTTATTTTTAGAAGAAAAAACGTAGGGAAAAGAAACAGAGACAACGAAAAATAATACAAAAATAATAAATGACGTGGCGATGTCCATTAATTTAATAAATAATAGAAGACATCATACAAGAAATAGGAGTTTATAACCCCCCCCCCCCCCAGTGGTACAGTGGTATGAATGCAGACTTACTACGCTATAAACCGTATTTCGATACCCGTGGTGGCCAGAGCATAGATAGCCCATTGTGTAGTTTTGTGCTTAACAACAAAACAAACAAAGTAGTTTATAATAGATGAATGTCCATTAACTCAATAAGTAATACAAGAAGTCATACAAAACAATAGTAATATAAAACCAAGATTTGTTTTATTACTAAATTTATTATTTTGCTTTGTTGAATTCTCATTATATATACCAAACAGTTTGTGTGTACATGTACATATTTAAATAATCGCCTTGTATTACTGACTTGCAAGTTTTTTATGTTTTCTTTTATTTTTTTGCTAAAATTGGATGTTCTGTAAAAGTTTATCCCTTTGTTACCAACAAACGATAACACTTATCAAGTCGCTTAGTATGCATCATGAGAGGTGTATTTTGAACTGGAGAGCGTGTCTGGCCTCATAGCTCTTACCCAATGAAATGAATTATTCTGACCAGTTGATATTACCAAGATAACCGAAAAAAGTGTACTTTACGATAGCTTACAAATACATGTATTTTTAGCAGATCTTAATTTTTAGCGCTCAGTTCAACACTGAGTAGACATACAATTTTGTTTTATTTTAACCCTGTAGATAAGATAATGCTGAGAGCAATGCCTCTGTGGTCTTCTCTGTTAGCGCCTACACTAAAGTTTTGAGTTTTTATATACTAGTCGAATCGAAAAATAGGTATTAAGTAATCTTATAAATTCGATTTCGATGTTTATTTTAATATTCGAAATCTAACCGAAATTCAGATTAATCGCTCAGCACTACTATACACATAAGGGGTATATAAAACCCTACAAGTCCTGAAATAGTGGTTAAATAAAATCCAATAAGCCTTACGTTCAGGAGAAAGCTTAGAAAATAAGTAACTTCTTACATAGAGGATATTTTTTAAATTGCGAAATAAATAAGTATAACCCTAAACGTAGAGGGTTTCAAGGGATGGACATATGATAATTAGATCACGTTTTGTTTTTCTTTTTCTTGTACTTTAAAAAAATTGTTTTATCTCTCAGTTTGTTTGTTTGTAGTTAAGCACGAAGCTACACAATGGGCTATCTGTACTCTGCCCATCACGGGTATCAAAACTCGGTTTCTAGCGCTGTAAGTCCACAGACATACTGCTGTGCCTCTTAACATTTCAAAATTCATCAGTTTTTTTTCAAAAATTAGTTTTAAAAACGCTCTCACAGTTACTATGTGAACAATGGTGACAGAAAAATAAACTTGTATTATATCACACTTTGCCAGATTTTGTGACGAATATAGTAACATCTTGTCAAAGTGGTATACATGTGTAAATTTATTTTATCTTCCTGTATACACTACTCGGAATCTGTAATAGTAGTTTAACCACTGTTAAAAGATAATTTCAATGACCCCTCAGTTTAAAATTTACTAAAAAATGATCAAGTATCTGATGATCAGTCATGCGACTTCAAATACAAATGAGTTGCATTCAGCCTATGTTATATGTTATATATAGTGACTCTATTCAATCTTCATTTTAAAGTGAAGCACAGAGTTCCCTCAGAGAGAGCATTTGAATGTTTTACTCATAAAGAGAGCCACCGGACAAATATATACCATCCAATCGCAACATGCTATTGTGATTTTATCAGAATGTTGAACTGTTTCCAAACCAATAACAATTGTTTGAATTTCTGAACAAGATAGGTCATCTTCATGACGCAAGCAGATATCCGGAATCTGTTAATCATGGGATACTGCAATCGTAGCGCTCTGGACGCCGTATCATTGTATAGACGGTTAGAAACAGTTTCACAGGTCTGGTGTGTGACCCGTACTCCGCTAATACAAATCAGTTCATTTGCAATAGTGAGAAGAACACGTCCACTAGACCAACAACATGCGGAGCGATTTTGTTTTTTTAGATAAGTCGAACTTTACTCTGCAATCAGAAAATGAGGAGAATCTAGAATCAGATAAACCTCATTTTCATACAGAAACATGCAGAGCCGTGCTGGTTGGAGGCACGTTAAACAAGCACATATTATATATATATATAACTTGATGCATATGGCTGTGGCAGAAGTATGTTGTAAGCAGCAATAAGTAATGATGGACATACAGACCTCTACATCTTGTTGAATAGTATCATTCATGTAACACACAATAGAGACCGCACAGTGCGGCCTTTCCCGCTACCATATGCTAGTTCAGTTGGCCATTACTGTACATATATTAGTGATGTGTACCCCAAATTTGTTAAATTGGTCTATACATTCTTCACAATGCTTTACAATGTCCAGCATAAATGGGTTGCTCTTGGGGAATACATCACAATGCGTCAAGCGACTCCAGACACCAGACACCCATCAACACTTTCGTTTTAAACATGCAACATCACTATCAGGCATTCTTTGCTGTTCGTTATAATCATACTGTCAGACATACTTTGCTGTTCGTAATAATCCATACTATCAGGCATCCTTTGCTGTTCGTAATAATCTATACTATCAGGCATCCTTTGCTGTTCGTAATAATCATACCGTCAGGCATCCTTTGCTGTTCGTAATAATCCATACTGTCAGGCATCCTTTGCTGTTCGTAATAATCCATACTGTCAAGCATCCTTTGCTGTTCATGATTATTATACTCCATATTGAAGTGAAATGTCATAAGTTGGAAAGATGTATAATACATAAACGAATGTTCGTTTACGACCACTTATTTAAGTGAAATCTGGTCATCACATGCCTGGTTTGCTTAGAAATTAACTGAAGGGGGTGACTGATATTATATTAGAAAACTGGTTTTGACTCTTTTGTTTCTTGCAACACTAACCATTAGATACAAGAATATGTGTTATGATACTTAGATTTATTCTTTGTTCATTAGTTGCCTTTCCTGAGATGTTTTTTTCTACAATGTTTCATAAATAGGGCGGCTAAATTCATAGCTTAAAAATCGTATGTTGAATTTAAATAAATAAGATTATTATTTATTTATTTTTTGGCTAGAAACCTTAAAAACCGAGAAGAGTAATTTCTGAATCGAAATCCTATACGATTTTCTACTTGAAAGTGTTTTTGTTTATGCTACTAAAAGAATAAATAAAAAAGCAACATCGTCGTTTTCTCACAGCCTTGCAAAAGGGCCGTCTTCGTTATTGTAGCTTTGTAAATTGTGTCTCTACTTACGCAGTTCTTTTCTAAGAAGAGTTCGGTGAGGTATATCGATCAATTGATTACATAAATAAAGAGAGTGTTTTAATATATTCTGTGGTGTGTTTATTGCTTAACACAAGATTAAAAGAATGACGTTATTTCTAGCTTAAACTATCAAATATAATTGCCAAGTAACTAATACGACATATCCCGATGGAGTTTAGTTGGTTTGTTTGATTGTTTCAGAAGTTTTTGTAATACTACACAAGGGCTATATGCGCATAGCCATCCCTAATTTTTAACTGACAGACTAAAAGGAAGGTAGTTAGTTAATAGCACCCATTTCTTGGGCTACTCTTGTCTGATCGAAAAGTGGGACCCCTTTGACCCATCGTTAAGTTTGAGGGCTTATAACGCCAAAAATCAGGTTTCGATACTCGTAGTGGGCAGAGCACAGATAGTCTATTGTGTAACTTTGCGCGTAACAACAAATATACAGTATCGAGTAACAGGGCTTGACCGTCATAATTATAGCGTATTCAAGGCCACAAAACGTGGAGCGCATTTTTGCGACATCTATATGTAATAAATTGTGTGATAAATTTTTATTATTATAAAAAGTTTGATACATAAATTTGAAGTAATATTTTCTAACGCTGTTAGCAATTTGGAGCTTACATTTGACAAATATCAGAATACATTAATTTAAGAGACGTAATAAGTATAACTTTCAAATATTTAAAGAAACAATCTTTAAAAATATTGCTATATCTACACTGTATGACAACGAAGAAACCACTGGTAATTTTAAGATATGTGACTTATGACAGGAACTTTGTCCAGTCTCTTAACCATGTATTTTACTTAACCATCAATCAGAGGGTCGCGGGTTCGAATCCCCGTCCCACCAAACATGCTCGCCCTTTCAGCCGTGGGGGCGTTATAATGTGACGGTCAATCCCACTATTCATTGGTAAAAGAGTAGCCC